GTAATATTCAAATCTTTGAATCTCAATCATGTTTCCCGAGTTTCCTCTGGATTTGAGAGTCAAATAAACCTCACTTAACCTCATTCAAACCTTCCTGATCTGGACTTGTGAAACCAGGTCTGGCTTCTCATCTTGGCTTCATTTCTTTGGGAGTTCAACTCCAGAAATGAATAACCCAGGGCTCCTAAGACCCACACATGGATTTCTCCAAGGTCGGGCGGAAAGTGGAATGAATCTAAGTAAACTCACTGCATCAGGGTACAACCATGAAGTTTATTTTACATTTATTTTGAAACCATAAATCATAAGTTTCAAATACTTGGATTAGCTTTTCCTGAAAACACAGCTTCATTTGTTTAAATAACATAGACCAGTATGATAACAGTTTTGTAAAATATTATTGATCCACAGATGGACAATAAATACATGCATATTGTCCAGGTTATCCATAGATCAGACACCCAGAGGGTATTAGATGTGCAATACCTCCCAAGAAGGAGGAACCCAAGGGCGGGGAGAACTCTGAGAATCCCTTACAGAGTGACCACAGGGGAAGGAGAAAGGGAAGGAGGGATATTGAAAGAGTTTACCAAAATCATCACAGAGTCCTCAGGCCAGGGACACCTACCACAGAAGACCTGCCCTTCTGAGAAAGGACATATTGTAGTGCCCCTGCCACACTCCATAGCTAAGAACAGAACACAAGAATTAAAATACAGCAGGTGGCTGGACATTTCATTCCCTGCAGTCAGAGATATGAAACGCTCTCACTGCCACAGATGGAGAGATGGATGATGGGTGCCAACATAGGTAGATGATAGGCAGGCAGGTAGGATTAGAAAGGACAAATTTATAATATTCGTTTATCTGGAAGGGATTGTGAGCCATGCATGGAGGTTTCCTTTAGCATTTTTGTTTCTTAAAATTTCTTCACTTTTGTATGTATACCTAAGCAAATCTGGTTTAAGATTTCTACAAATATTCCTTTTTCAAAGTAACTCCTTTCTTCATTTCATGTTAGGAGATACACATCACAATATGCATTGTGTGTGGGTGTGTGTGTGTGTGAGGGGGGCAGTCCTTGCTTGGGCAAATTTGCACTAAGCTTTCTGATTCTTTTTCAACGTTTCCACTTTCTCCTTCTCCCAGAAAATGCACTAGAAACTCCTCTTTGGGAAAGGAAGCAAGTTTTTTTTTTTTTTTTTTTTACAGTCTGTCCACATTCCTTATCTAACATTTCTAACAAATCTTATCAGCCACTGGCTTCTTATTGCATTAAAAGGTCAAACACTGATCCATTTGGAGGGGATGCACCACCGTTTAGGACCTTATAAGATTCAAAATAAATTATTGGTGCTCTAAGAGATTTATAAATCAAGAATGCTAGTCTATAGTACAAGTTAATTTCATTTTTGTGGACATTTTGGTTACAGAAACTATATCAGGTATACCTCTCTGACAAACATACAAATTCAAGTCCACCTTGACACCCAGAACATGACCTTATTTGAAAACAGTGTATTTGCACAGTGATTAGTTAAGACGAGCTCACATTGGACCAAGGTGGACCCTAATCTAATGACTGGTGTCCTGTTGAAATGACCAGGTGCACAGAGGAGACACACAGAGGAGGCCATATGAAGAGGTGACAGAGGCTGGAGTGATGTGTCCATAAGACAAGGAACACTGAAGATTGCCTAAAAACACTAGGAACAAGGAGGGGACGAGGAAGAATCCCCCCTTCATACTTTCCAAGGGAGCATGATCCTGGCCCATCTTGATATCCAGGATACCCAGTCTCCAGAGCACTGAGAGAATAAACTCCCACTCCTTCAAGCACCTAGCTTGCAGCACTTTATTCTTAGAGCTTTGGGAAAATACACAGAAATCAGGGTCCCAAGCTACTTGGCAAAGGGCATGTGAACTTGTGATTCTAGGGTCATTGTGCATCCTTCTTGTGTCCCTGGCAGCAAAGTCCATTGGCAGTGGGACACTCTAAAGGACAGTTTGTAGCTCTTGAGCTCCTTTGAGGAATGACCCTCTTTGCCAACATTCCAAAGCCAAGAGTCATGTTCTAGGATTTTTGATCTCTGTAGAAAATGTACAAATATTATGCATAGTGACTCCAGGTCCCCCCAAAAGCTAGGATGTCCATTCCTACTCATCAGTTGCTTCTACTTTCTCAGTAGAGGAAACCCCTCTAATAAATGCAAGGCCCTGCTTAGAGTAGAGAGCAAATGAGATGAACTGGGGCTTTGTTTTCAATGTATTCCGATTGTTTATGATTATGTACACAACAAACCAATCTAAAGACAGCTTTGCAGATGAGTCATCATTTATTGCCTATCTCTCTCTGTGGGAAATTAGCCATTTCTTATCATAAGGGGAGACACCAGGTATGGAGCAGTCCTTGCAGGGTGGGGCAAGTCTTGGAAGTAGGCTTTGGAGGGAATGACTGCAGCTGCCTGAGTCTACAGACCAAGGGACCAGATTCTGCCACCCAGGGATCAGTGTCTGCACAAAATGGCATGCATTTCTGGTAATTCCCAAACCCAAAAGCTGTCAGTCACGCTGAAGAATGGAGGTAACACTGAGGGTCTTAATAAGGAAGAATGGGAATGGAGAGATTGAACTGGAACAGTAGGCTCCAGCCTGGGGAACCTTGGTAGGGTGCAGAGGAGAGGAACCACATCCAGAAATAAGAGTAGAACCAAGTGTGAAGGCAGGTGTGGGTGTCCCCTGCAAGACTCACTTTGAAATTTAATTGCCTTGTGACAGTGTTGAGAGGTTGAACCTTTATGAGGTGAGTAAATAGATTAACTAGACTAATGTCAGTATCACAGGTTGGGTTATCTCCAGAGTGGGTTTGTGATAAATTCAGGTTCCTCTTGCCTTCTCTGTCTGGCTCAGGTGTGCTTGCCTTCCCTTTCTGTCATGTTCTATGAAGCAGAAAGTTCCCCGCCAGATGCTGGCGCCATGCTCTTGGACTTACCAGCCTCCAGAATTGTGAGCCAAATAAATGTCCATTGTTATCAATTACCCAGTCGGTGATATTCTCTTATGCAGCAGAAAATGGGCTCAGACAGGGAGGGGATGAATGGGGAATAGACCCAGTCATTCTCAGAGAGTCCCAGTGGTCCTTCTGTAATTCAGAATATACTTACAGTGACTGTTTCCTTGAGATTTATCTTCTGTCCCCTGCTCTGATTTTTTTTTTCATTTTTTCCTGGTAGGTGCAGATAATGGCAAATGGGTGTATGCTGTGGTTTAGCAGGATTCCCAGGGACTGATATTCTCAAAGATCTTTGTTTTCTGCAGCTATCTTACTTCATCTGTTTTATAGGTCTCATTACCTGAATGTCTGCTGCCACTTTACAGAAGCTTGGTCTAAGTTCTGGGCTGCAAAGTGATAAGTACATCCCTGTAATTCCAAAATAAATGTGAAAATAAGTAGAGCCATAATAGGGAGATTAAGAGTGTGTCTCACATAGACCAGAGTGGTTTGGAAAAGTCATTGAGATGACATATGGACACTACTCAATAGGGCCAGGTTCTGATAAACCCACTGTTAAGTAGAAAATTCACAAATTGAAAATGCACTTAAAACGCCTAACCCCCTAAGCATCTCAGCTGAGCAACATAGCTAACTGGGAGCTGTATTGCTGCTGCCCAGCCTCATGAGAGAGTATATCTGCAGATCATGAGCCTGGGAAAAGTTCCAAATTCAAAATTCAAAGTACAGCTTCAACTGAATGCATATCTCTTTCACACCACCATAAAGTTGAAAAAAATTGTAAGTCAAATCATCCTAAGTCAGGGACCATCTGTATATGAAGACTGTAGTAGTTTGGTTCAGTTGGGAAAGAGAAACCACACAGTAGATTAGAGAGAAAATTTTATGTAAAATTTATTAACTATGATAAGTTTATAATTAATAGATGAATGGGAACTGTGGTCCCAAGGGCTAAGGGAGGGCATCCCAGGAACAAGACACTTGGATGGGATTCAGATCCTACTGGGAAAGGTGTGTATCTGGACACTAGAAAGCAGAGGAGGTGGGTTAGCAGACTGGAGCTGGTCTAGAGTTGCTAGAAAGAGCATCTTCTGGAAGGCAGGCAGGGTCAGAGCTCAGCAATCCCTGGTGCAGTGGAAGCCTGGGCTCCAGGGGCCTCAGGAGGAGCCAGCTGCATGCAGGGGAAGGGGTCATGGCTTCACAGGGAGGACTACTACTTCGGACCCCAAGGGCATAGACATGCTATACCTGGGCCATGCTGGGGCTTTCTGTTGGCAGATTATCACACGAACCTGAAGCTGCAGGGTTGCAAAGGGATCCCTTTCAGGAATCATGGCAAAGCCAGGCTCCACCAGAAATCCTTACCCTGTCTCTGGAGGATCCCAAGAAAACTTTATCCTTCAGTGTCCCTTCTGCCCCATCTCTTAAGAGAGCTCAACCTAGTGCTCACTTTAAAGGAGAAATGTTTAAAGAGCAGACATGAAAATAATTTGATCTATGTATACAATATAGAATGATCAAATCTGGGTAATTAGCATATTTATTTTTTGGATACTAGGGGTTGAACCCAGGGGCACCTAATCACTGTTCCACATTTCTAGCACTTTTTAATTTTTTTAAATTTTGAGACTCAGGTGTCCCTGAGTTACTTCAGTCCTCACTAAGTTGCTGAGGCTGGCTTTGAACACGCAATCCTCTTGCCTCAGCCTCCCTAGCCACTGGGATTATAGGCGTGTACCACCATACCCAGCTAGTGTATCGATTTCAAACATGTGCTTGGTTACAAGCAACCAGTATTATGCTTTCTCTTTGTGATTGTGAATGCATTTAAACTACTTGGAATATATTTAAAAGTTAGGTAGCCATGTTAGTATTTGTTGTGGAATTTATTGTTGTATATTATTTAACTAACCACAAAGTTGAGAAAAGGTGTGTGAACATTTTCTAATTCCTGTTTATCATCTTTATTTCATTTTTTTTGGTCTAGGTCTTATACAATATATTAATTGCCTTCACAAAGATGCATAAATTCGAAGACATAGAACCTGTCGACATTTTGGCTGGATGTGCCCGATTCATCATTGTGGGGTGTGGGGGAGTATTTTTTGGCATCATTTTTGGATTTATTTCTGCGTTTATCACACGTTTCACTCAGAATATCTCTGCAATCGAACCGCTCATCGTCTTCATGTTCAGCTATCTGTCTTACTTAGCTGCAGAAACACTCTATCTCTCTGGCATCCTGGCGTGAGTACAATCCAAGTACCGAGTCTCCTAGTCAAACAGAGAAAGTTTAGGACCACAGAGGGTGAACCAAGCATCTGGAAAAGGCGTGACTTCTGATATTACTCCCCAAAGGTCTTGCAAGATGTAGGATATTTTTAAAAAAAACTTTTGTGAGATCTGATTCAGGTCTTTTGCCAAACAAATATTCTCTCCAACATTTGCATTTGTTCCCTCGATTTGCTTGAGGAGAGCAATTATCATACCAATTTAGGACTCAGAGAAAAGCTGGTACAGAGAAAAGCTAGGGGAAAGTTCAAGGTTAAAATCTATCTTTGTAGTTTTTAAGATTTTCTTTGAAAAATTAATTATAAAGTGGAAGGGGGCCATGCCACAAAGAGGTTCCATTCCTGGGCTCTGCTCTCTGTGGTTCCCTTCAAATCACATCAGAGTTCCATGACACTTCAGCATGGAATGCCATTATGCAGATGGGATAAGACTGGAAATACAGACTTCTTTGTTCTGATGAAGACATTTTTGAGGTGTTTACCCTCGTGTTCCTTGTAAACTTAATATGTTTTTCTGAGACTGAGTCTTCTCAATTTGGCTCCCTATAATTGATCATGTGTTTTTCTCTAGGACATTGTCCTCATATCTAACTCTTCAGGCAGAGCTATTTAATTCTATTGTGTAGGGATACCTATAAATATAACAGCGTAGACGCTAAGCATTTATCCTTTGCCCACTCTAAAAAAATGACAAAAACCATCAAGAAAAGGAAAAGTTCTTTCATTTCCCCATATTTGCTAAATGACTGCAGAACAGAAGCATTTGAAATGAAAACTTGTCATAAAAGAATTGTAAGACATTTGCTTGAGCGTAAGAAATCAGGGCCTCCCTGAGTTATTCTGTCTGTCCAACTTAAGTGGGATTTATTTTGGTTTAAGGCAGAGTCAAGCAGACAGTGAAGGTTGAGACCGACAAAGCTCTCAATGAAGGTAGGAAGGTAGAGAAATCTTCTGCTTCTTGTTCTCTGGCATGAGTTTCCCTCCATTTTGTTATGTGAAAGCCATGCCATACCCACTTTCTCTAC